CGATACCCGATGTATAGGCACTTTATGCCACTTTATTAGATTTTACTGTACAGCACGGACTTGGGATGCATTTTTCGGGATTTTATCACGCGCAATTGCGTTGCGATTGGTGGAGATATAGCCTATACTATATCTCCACCAATCGCTAACTGCGTACTTGATTCGTACAGAAGTTGTTTAAATTATAACATAGGCAAACCTCTAAACAGCACTTTTCAGGAAGTTGTTCTTTGACTGAAATTGCGTACAAAAGAACTTTCGAAGAACGGCAATTTTTTTATGATTCTGTTATGGCCGTTGTTCAGCGGTTTGACTGTATTTTTTTTAATTTATATGGAAATCTTTAATCTTTTAGTCCTATCTTGGTCAAATTTAATACATGTACGTGAAGATCATAAAGTCGATTAAGAATTTTGAAAGTATATCGTACGAAACGTTTTTACGTATTTATTAAAACTATACGGACAGACAAAAATTTTTCAATTGAAATGAATTTATTACGATTATGAAAAACATTAATAATAAAAATGATCGAAATCAGATTTAAAATTTAAAACTGGAATATTAAAATATTCTAATTTTATCTTTCACGATTTTGTTATAAATATTTATTACATCGGTTAATTTTAATAAAATCTAACGGTAAGGAAAATTTTCTATTAGAATTAAAATAAGAAAAATAATTTATATTCTTATCTATTTTAATCGTGTCTCATTTAACTAATTAAGCCGATAGTTTCATTAAATATTTATATAATTTTTTTGTAGGTGTTAACTACAACTTACTAATGGCGTATCCGGGATATTGAAAAAACGGGGTGCGGCTAAAGGTAAATTAAGGAGAATCTAAGGCACGTGTTTTCTGAATTGTACTTAATTACCTCAGAATTACTTTATTTACCTAATCTTACGTAATTGAAGCCACGCGATATGCGTTATTATATTTATTTTAAATAACAAAACTGATTGCTTTGGTATGATGACGTCCTAATGCGCCATAAGCATCCGCATGGATACATTCCTGATACATAGTACTGTGCAGTACATACGTCGCGCCCATTTGTCAAGAAAGGGTGAGCGGCAAGCACGAGAGATCATACACCTATAGGCCTACTTATTCATTTATCAGATTCTTCCATACGTGCCTATCGCTTCTTCCACCTTCGTCTCTCTCCTAACACATTTTATGCTCATAACCTTTCGCTCGTTCAAATGCTCGTCCAGTCGCTCCAACTCGGTCTCTCTCTTTTTCGCTTCCCTCTACTCTTTCCAAGCATCTTTCATACCACATTCTTCCCTCATGTCCTTATTCCTCGTCCAGTCTGTCAGTGTGTTAACTAACAAAACTATTGTGATTCTTTATTAAATTTCCTTTAAAAGAATTTTATTTTTTGAACTTTTTAAAAATAATTTATATAAGTGTAATAAGATAAAATATAAGAACTTATTTTTTGATTAATGATTTCTTATCATTTGGATATCAGATCTCATCCTTTCTCTTTGTTGTTTACTTCTTTCCTTGCTAACTTCATTGCTGTTCCACGACAGTAATCATCTGCTAGAAGATGACAATTTGACATACTTTACTAAAGTTTCTTATCTATATAAGAAAATAAATGAGGAGTAAAAATGTTCTTCTGTTTTTCCTTCTACTTCTTCATATTCGTGATATAATTGCTAAGGAAATACAACATCTCCATTAATTAAGTTCAAATGAATGTAATAATGTAGTTAATTAATCATAACATGCAACATTACTGCATCTATTATATATTTTTTTAATATTATATAAATGTGTGTTTATATTTAGTCAGTGTGAATCTACTATAAAATTAATGAAGCCTTAAACTTTAGGGCTACTAATCCCGGGGCCTTAAAGCAAGCTTATTTAATGAATGAATTTTTCAACAAAATCTGGGACTATCTTTTTGTTTGTTATTAAAATAAGGTTATTTTAGTGAGATACGTAAGTCAATGTCTCGAAGCATTTAATATGCTCTAACACCCATTTCATATAGTCTCAAAATGTCGCTGTAATTGACCAAATTTCAAAGTTTTTTCGAGGGCTGCAATGTTCAAACCTCCAGCTTGTAACATGTTGCTCTATTGCTGCTGGTTACAAAGGGGGTCCAAACATTTCAACCTTTAGTGTACCATAATGTAGGTCCCCAGTGTATTTAATGTAGATACACATTTACGTAAACATATATTGAAATCGTTGAAACAATTATAATTTATTCTTTAAGTTAATTTTATTTTATAGAAACTTATTGACAAGACTATAAAATCATACTGCTGCTGTGTTACCAGCTTACAGGTATGAAGGAGTACATGTCACGAGTTGCAATTTGGCACAAAGTATTAGATGCCGAAATCATGAGCGCATAAAAAAACCAGACTTGTAAGTAGTCGAGGGTCCGAGAACCGAGTCAAAATAAAATACAAAACGGCGACTGTACAAACAGGCAAACCGAAGTCAGGTGGTGCGAGTACCACCCGTCAAAGTGATTCCGCTTAGTAGAGAGTCTCCGAGATATAGTCTTATCCCAAATACGGTTTTGCCGTTTTACTCGTTTTATTATAAATTGGTAGCCTAATTATAATATAAGACTTATAAAGATTTCCTCGAAAATATTTGACACATCACTTATAAATTAGAGAAATGGCCTACTTTTTTTATATGGGATTATCCATAAATTATGTACTTTTACTTTTAGCAGATAGGGGATGAAACCAGGGCTACTCAAAGTTATTGCCTGGAGAAGAAAGATGATTTAGAGGAAGAGGCTGAAGGTGAAATTATAAAGAAGGATAGTAAAGGGAATGAAAAGGAAGTCCCAAGGGCCTGCATCGCTTTTTTAAAACAAAATTAAAAATTTACATTCAGTTGTGGACCAGTAGTTAAGAATTATTGAAGCGCCCTAAGTGATGGGCACGCAAACATAACATATTTACAATACTCATTGTACTTGCAAGGGGGAAACCGACAATGTTCCTTATGACAAGACAATAAATAATATGTACTACAAACACAGAATAGATGCCCATGTTACAGAAGTGTCATAAGCGAGAGACACCCGCGAAGTGAATATACAAAACACTGCGACTTGCAATGGAAGACCGACAAGGCATTAACATAGGGCATCAAACAATAAACATAGGCCGAAAAAACACCACGTGTTACAAAAAAAACAAAGACAAAAAACTAACAACACAAAAGTGTGCCAAACTAGGGATACGCGAAAAAACATATGAAACATTGCAAGTTGAAATGGGGACCGAAAATCATCACTAAGGAAGAAAATAAACAGATATATACTGGGTAATAAAATACAACGCGTACTAAACAAAAGTGCCCCAGATGGGGGCTTGCGACCGCTAAGAATACAATACACATTGCTATTTGTAATGGGAAACCGTTGTCCGACAGGTGGTTGACACTTGAAAGAGTCCTGCCTGGTCTTCTTAGTAGCTGAAGATATTGAAAGCCTGAGTTGAATGCGGGAAGAACCATTGAAGACGTAAATTTAGTCTGTGGAGATGAAGATCGCGTTGAGTACTTTGTGGAACACCATTGACGACACCAAATATGTATATTTAGTCTGTCGAGGTGAAATCCCCAATTAGTGCTTTTGTAGAGCATTTTTGAAGACACCAAGAATGCATGTTTAGTTTCTGGGAGTGAAGGTATCGTTGAGTGCTCCTGTGAAATCGATGAAGACGTTTAATTCTGGATATAAATCTTTATTGTTGATGAAGGAACTCAAAGGACATGGCCAGTTCCATCCTGAGGAAAGGATCTTTTGTAAAAGTGAAACCCTTTGAATACAAAAGTAGCGCAGTCAAAGATATGATGATGAACATCTTGCGGAGTTTGTCCGTCGCAATTACAGTAGTTACTGTCTCGAAGATGAAACCTATGGATATAACTCCGTAGGCTTCTGTGGCCCGTGAGGAGTTGGGAAGTAGTATGGTTGATTTTAACGTGTTTCCATTTAAGTCTTTCCTGGATTTTTGGTATAAAGGAAAAGGTTAGCCTCTCTGTTTTTCTTCCTCCCACTCTCTCTGCCAAAGAGCAATAACCGTGTTGTGTAAAACGTTTTGGAGAGCCGTCTTAGCTATTCTATTAAAGCTTACTGAAATTTCAGAGTCTGCAAGCAAGCTGCAGACTCTGAAGCAATTTCAGAGTCTGGCTTCCTCGTTTCCTTTTAGTCCGTTATGTCCTTTGACCCAGGTTAGTTTATAATGATTATTATTGTTATCATTTATATCTTGATTAATAATTCTTGACTGGAAACAGTTTTGATTATGGATCCATTTTTGGCAGTTTGGCTATCGGATAATATACGGATATGTTGACTGTTGATCTTTTGATTTTTGATGTACTGTATTTAATTGCTTGGTTAATGGCTATTAGTTCGGCTTGCATGATAGTACAATATTCCGCAAGACGGAATTTGCCACCATAAATTGGCTGAGTAGGATCTTTACCATATATGACGAAGGCCGCCCCAACCTTTGTGCTGTTTTTAGACCCGTCCGTGAAAATTTGCAATGAGAGTTTTGGTTCCTCGTTTTATTCGACTGTGATGACTGGTATCTGTGCGTGAGAAAGACTTCGGCATATCGGTTTCATGAAATCAACGTTCAGATTCGGTAGAAGTCCGATTTGAGTATATTTCGCCAGATCTCCAGGCTTGTTGAGATCTAAGTTGTTCCAGGTGTACCATTGCCACATGATTTCTTTTACTTTCAGATGTAATGGTTTAAGACCAGTGAGCACCTGAAAGGTAGCTGAGGTGCTGTCCTATAAACTCTGGTCGGCCGAAGAAGATTCGAAAGTTACTCAATAAAGTCCAACGGTTCTCTAACCGTTGGACTTTATTGAATAACTTATCCTTACGTTGTCAATCACACTGTCCCAAAAAGGAGCACCATAAAGGAGTGAAGTCTCTATGCATAAAAATATTTCATAAAAAAAATATTTTTACTAAACAAATTAGCATTGTTTAATTTCACTTATGTTATTGATACTTCAAATACATATTTACAACGCGAATAACAAAAATTCGGGGTGTTCTAAATCTTAACTGGACGTGTTCTCGTAATAAAGTAAAACACGCAAAGATGAAATAGCATTTGATGAACTTCAGAATTATTATATGCACTAATGAAAAACAGATAAAATCAATTTCACAGAACACACTAGAGATGGATAACATACACGAACTACATTAACCAGGTAATGTTTGTGTGCTCATTATCAGTGTAATGTTTTCTCCTTTTAATAATATTCTGCCAATTGCCTTCCTCTGTTTAGTTTTCATATGGACTTCTTCGGCATCGTCTAACACCAAGTTCATATACTCGTCGAACCCAATAATGTGTCCTTCTATTCTCATGGTGATGTTCTGATACAGCCAGACTTGAATTCTAGCTCTATTTTGTAGATAGCGAAATATCAGGTTGATTGGTTGAACCATCACCTTTTGTATCTTCTGTGCGCCCTTGTACGACATGACTATTCTTGGTGAATTTACTATCCAAAAGTATAGAAATGGAAGTTACAACTAACAATGGAAACACGCCAAACGTTTCAATACCCTGTGCTTTGGGGCCTAATCCCCAATTTCTATTACAAATGCAGTTTAAGGCGTTGGAGATCTTAGTCGTTTTTTTGGCTCTGTCATTAATATGGGTGATTCACTTAAGATTTTGATCGAACGTAACGCCTAAGGTTTCAGTTGTTTCCCTTTGGAGAGGACCATATTTTCGCATTTATGATAATTGATGGTCAGCTTATATTGTTGCTCCATCTGTAAACAATATCAAGTATCTGATTTCCTTCCTCCTGAAGCTTTTCGTTGTTTTTGTTGGAGAGAATAACCGGGGAGTCATCAGCGTACCCTTGGATTCTATAGGGGATGTGCCGATTGAAGTCGAGCAAGGCCGTTGTATTCGATGTTCCACATCCCCGGGCCTGAGAGGGAACCCTGAGTACATCCTCTGTGTATATTTTGAGTGATGCTAGTAGTATTGTAAACAAGAGTAGCCGCCCTATTCTTGAGATAGTTTTTAGTAATTATGTAAATGTTTTTTGGACAATCATTAATTTGTAATTGCCTTAATAGAGCTGGCCACCACAGGGTATTGAAGGCGTTTTTAAAGTTAATCAATATTATAAGGACATGATCTTTTTTCCAGGATTTTTCAATGTAATTAATGACTTCATTTATAGTGCGATAGGTTGATTTTCCGCTAGTGAAGCCGTACGGATTCGGGTGATAAAAGTTTTTGTTGTTTAAATGGTGATTGATCCTAGCTATCAGTAGCCCATCAAGAACTTTGCCTGGCACCAAAAGAAGGCTGATAGGTCTCAGCTTGTCAGCTTTAGTAACAACAGATACACCTGCTTTTGGCATAAATTTGGTGATGGAGTCGTCTTTGAGGAAATGCAGTGGCGTACCGTAGTGGAGGCAGCAAGGGTGGCCCGCCCTGGGCGGCACTTTTTAGGGGGCGGCAAAATTTCAAATAAATAATAATAATATTTTGTAAAAATTTGAAACATCCTAATCTATACTTGCATCGCGCCTACGAGAGTGCTATCGTCCGGACAGTCTGGGAATCGGCTCGCCGTCCGGGTGAACTAGTAATTTTTTCATCCGAGGAAGTCCTGCGAAACCTGGTGACATTTTTTTTTTTTNAATGAAGAACAGATAAAATCAATTTCACAGAACACACTAGAGATGGATAACATACACGAACTACATTAACCAGGTAATGTTTGTGTGCTCATTATCAGTGTAATGTTTTCTCCTTTTAATAATATTCTGCCAATTGCCTTCCTCTGTTTAGTTTTCATATGGACTTCTTCGGCATCGTCTAACACCAAGTTCATATACTCGTCGAACCCAATAATGTGTCCTTCTATTCTCATGGTGATGTTCTGATACAGCCAGACTTGAATTCTAGCTCTATTTTGTAGATAGCGAAATATCAGGTTGATTGGTTGAACCATCACCTTTTGTATCTTCTGTGCGCCCTTGTACGACATGACTATTCTTGGTGAATTTACTATCCAAAAGTATAGAAATGGAAGTTACAACTAACAATGGAAACACGCCAAACGTTTCAATACCCTGTGCTTTGGGGCCTAATCCCCAATTTCTATTACAAATGCAGTTTAAGGCGTTGGAGATCTTAGTCGTTTTTTTGGCTCTGTCATTAATATGGGTGATTCACTTAAGATTTTGATCGAACGTAACGCCTAAGGTTTCAGTTGTTTCCCTTTGGAGAGGACCATATTTTCGCATTTATGATAATTGATGGTCAGCTTATATTGTTGCTCCATCTGTAAACAATATCAAGTATCTGATTTCCTTCCTCCTGAAGCTTTTCGTTGTTTTTGTTGGAGAGAATAACCGGGGAGTCATCAGCGTACCCTTGGATTCTATAGGGGATGTGCCGATTGAAGTCGAGCAAGGCCGTTGTATTCGATGTTCCACATCCCCGGGCCTGAGAGGGAACCCTGAGTACATCCTCTGTGTATATTTTGAGTGATGCTAGTAGTATTGTAAACAAGAGTAGCCGCCCTATTCTTGAGATAGTTTTTAGTAATTATGTAAATGTTTTTTGGACAATCATTAATTTGTAATTGCCTTAATAGAGCTGGCCACCACAGGGTATTGAAGGCGTTTTTAAAGTTAATCAATATTATAAGGACATGATCTTTTTTCCAGGATTTTTCAATGTAATTAATGACTTCATTTATAGTGCGATAGGTTGATTTTCCGCTAGTGAAGCCGTACGGATTCGGGTGATAAAAGTTTTTGTTGTTTAAATGGTGATTGATCCTAGCTATCAGTAGCCCATCAAGAACTTTGCCTGGCACCAAAAGAAGGCTGATAGGTCTCAGCTTGTCAGCTTTAGTAACAACAGATACACCTGCTTTTGGCATAAATTTGGTGATGGAGTCGTCTTTGAGGAAATGCAGTGGCGTACCGTAGTGGAGGCAGCAAGGGTGGCCCGCCCTGGGCGGCACTTTTTAGGGGGCGGCAAAATTTCAAATAAATAATAATAATATTTTGTAAAAATTTGAAACATCCTAATCTATACTTGCATCGCGCCTACGAGAGTGCTATCGTCCGGACAGTCTGGGAATCGGCTCGCCGTCCGGGTGAACTAGTAATTTTTTCATCCGAGGAAGTCCTGCGAAACCTGGTGACATTTTTTTTTTTTTTTTTGGTTTTTGCTTTTACGATTCATTCGCGTTCATATACACCACTAATATTCAATGGAACTATTTTAAACAAGTCGCTGCACTACCACCGAATTTTTCATTGCTTGTTCTGTGACAAAACTGAATTTTGGTCTTTTAAATTGAAATACCTAAATAAGGGGGGCGAAATTTTCCTCCGCCCCGGGTGGCTGACACCCACGGTACGCCACTGGGGAAATGCGTTTCCATTAGTGATTTCAGTATGTCTTCTAGCGAGTTAGTTATAGTAGATCCATTTTCCTTTTGAGTGGTGGCTGGTATTATAGTCTTTTTCCTAGGTTTACAAATGATATGTCCTTGCTGACTTTCTAACCATTTTTGTGCAATATTCTCTCCATTTCAAGGCCCTAATCTCGTTAATTTCGGTCTTGTAATTATTCAGCCGCCTAACATGTTGTATTCTTTTTTCTCCTTTAATTAATCTCTGGATTATTCTCTTTCTTAAATTTCTTTAGGAGTGTCCTTACTTTTCGCCGTGTGATAGCCAAGTCCTCAGTCCATCAGGCAGCATGTTTCCTCTGTATGATAATAGTGTTTGGCAAGATTATGAGCAGTTTTAATGGTATTAGTTAAAATGTCTACCATAAATTATGTAACTATATTTATACTTTTGAACTACCATTATACCCCTGTAACGTTTCATAACGCTGTGGCATATATTCACCCCCAAATCATGTAACGCGTATTCTCAATTGACGCCCTGAACTGTACTAAGTAATAATACACAGTACAGAGTATTGAACGTTAAGTTATTTTTACTTTCTCGGCTGTTATAACAGAGGGAAGTATGGCGATCTGAGAAAAAAATGACTCTTCCAGATTTTCAAAGTTTTGACTTAGGACACCTTAAAACGCCGAGAAATACAAAAAAATTCGGAAGTAATTTCTGTATATATAAATGTTATTATGTGTGTTTACCCTCTTTGAAGCTTAATAACGCCTGTGCTTTGTGTTGAAAATTTCTGAAATTTTGCAGGGAGGATTGTNTTCGAGTCACCAGAAAGGTCCGCTTTGAAGAATCTACTTGACACCATCTGTTACTCTGGATGCAAAATGTTGATAGAACTTTGAAACTTGGGCTCATATTTTCCACCTTGTCTAGTCTGTGACTGTTTGAAATGTAACGATTCGACGCGATGTCCCTTTTCGTCATTAATCTTTCCCCTTTTCAAAATTTCTGTTCTAATTATTTGTATATGAGCGACTTGTCAAAGGTCCATCTCTACTGGAGGGCGTTTGTTTACAATTATTAATCATTTATAATTATTGCGTTCTGTTTACATCAATAGCGTTCTTTTATCTCGTCGCGGTTTCATATGACTAGAACAATTAATTCCATCTTTGATCGGTTTTTAACAATAGATGATTTTGTTTTTCTAGTTTTATTTTAATAAATGTTTAATTTCAACCCGTTTTTGGGACCTCACACAGTCGACCCCCTATAACACTGTTGATAATTCCGTTTTATATGAATTCCATGTTTTACGACTCACTTAGATTTTACAAATATGTGTGCCGGGCTGTGAACGGCTCACGTATTTGTAAAATCTAAGTGAGTCGTACCACATGGAATTCATATAAAACGGAATAATCAACAGTGTTATAGTGGGGTCGACTGTATTTCATCAAATAGAGAGTGTTAAACGAAGTTGTCCTGTTGTTGGAAACGACAGGACAACCTCGTTCATTTAAACTTCAGTTTTATCAGTCTTTTATTGTGATGACATACGGTTGTTTTTCAGCGTTATGTTTCTGACTTGGTAATTTTGAAAGACAGAACAACACTGAAAACCGCCACTATAGACTAGTTGCATTCTACCGCTGAGCACATTTTTACCAGCTATTGTTTAAAATATTATGAGTGGACATATTGAACAGTTCCGTTGTAGTTCCGTTTAAGTCTCCATTAATTTCTGCATCGTGACATGGTAGCTTCTTTGCGTAAATCAGCAACACAATAAAATTAATTGATTACACTTCACCTTTAGGTTTATAAACATAAGGCCACTGATGATCGTATGTCCTAGCGGCTAAGGTGTCAGTCTACCGCTCTGGGGACAAAGGATTGAATTCGGATGGGTCGAAAGTTTTCGAAGGTTGCATGTCAGGCTCCGTCCCTCACCATCCAGCCGTCCTACTTTGAGCCTGGATGAACTCATAATAGACTTACTAAAAAGACTCTCTTAGTGCAGACTGGATGGAAAGAGTTTTAAAAAGTCCAAATACGACCAAATCTGATATAGCAACATTTTAGATCACGCGGAAGATATTTCTATAAAAAAATTAATAAATTACTACCAAAATTCACTTTTGGCTCTTTTGATCTTATCAGTGTGATATTTAGAGGTAAGATTTATTTATTAAGAAGTGTGGTTTATTGAGGACATATTGCAAAGCCTGTATCACATGTAGCACAGTATGTGTATTCCGTGAGAAGCATCACAGATCAATTAGACCCAACTATGCAAAAAGATAACAACCTTCAACGTACTTAACTGAATAAATTCTGGTTAAAGTTTTTATTTTCAAAAAATACAGCTCTGTTTACTCGAAAAAATTTCCGCATTTTTTAGGGACGACTAAAATCAGCAGATGGTGAACCAGGTTAGACAGTGAGTGCGTTATACTTACTGTATAAAGAGAAAGGCGGTGTCATATATAGGTATATTGTGTTAGTTGAAAGCCATGCTTACTGTGTGTGCTGTGTATACGCAATTGCAGTAAAATTAGGCGAGTAAATCTAATGTTTCTATTTCTGACTTGAAAATTTTTTTACGCTAGAAAATCTTAAGTCCAGGTATGACTTTTCATTCTTTATAATACTTTGGAACAGTGTTTCTCAATCTTTTTTGACCTTTGGCCCACTTTGAGCTTAATATTTTTTTCTGGTCCCCGTAATAGTAGCTCGGGAAAAATTTAAATATAAACATTAAAAATTTCACCACTTTTTTAAATATTACAAAATGGATTTTTATTTAAAATACAGTAATTATAGCACAATTCTCATGAACTATATAGTTACGCACTTATAAATTTATTTAAAAAAATAAAACATGTAATAAATTCTTATTTGCTTTATTCATCTCAATCTCTGTCCACATCAATGGTGCCAGACATGTGATGACTAAAATCAGTAGATGTAATCATAAATTTTTGGTAGATTTCGCATAAATTCGATAAATTTGAATCGATTGAAATGCAAACCCTTAATCTCGACACAATGAAAAATGGACTTATATCACTTTCATAATAAACGATTTCAAATGTACTGTACGATTTTGCATTGCAGAGGACATTGTTAACGTTAAATCTCATAACTTTTAACCTTCAACATGTGTACTGTACTGTACTGTACTGTACTGTACATACGATATTACTATATATAATTATTACTTTTTGAAATAATTTATGCATTGTTTTCTATTCCTATTGTTTAGTAACTATATTCTTCAATAAACACGAATGTTAGACGGAGGTTTTAATGGAATTTTATTACTAGAAACGATTCTGAAGTAACACAAATGAATGGAATCGACAGCAGTAGCGTAACCACAACCAAAATTAGAGGGCCCGAATTAGAACTTGAAAACCTACATTCATTCCTACATGTGTTTAAATGCATTTGTCACATTCAAATAATTGATTTTTTTCTCAATTTATTTATTTTTACAAAAGTAAGGAGCCCTCTCCGCCTTACCCTAGTTACGCTACTGATTATCAGCACTAATGTATCAATATAAACATATAAAAATAAATGCAATATGTATCATAGTGACGTTATTACAGGGTATAACACAATGGAGTGCATAAAATTACACGCAATAACTGTACACGTTCGTAAATTTCAAGTTCTAA